CCCAACCCCCCTCCATGGGCCTTGCTCTGTGTGTGACAGGGTAGAGCCATAACCTCCCCATTGGCCCTGCCCTGAGTGTGACAGGGTGCAGCGTCCCAACCCCCTTATCCGCCCTGCTCTGTGTGTGACAGGGGGCGGTGCCCCAACTCCCCTATCGGCCCTACTCTGTGAGTGACAGCGGGGAGCTCCTCAACCCCCTGATGGGCCCTGCTCTGTGCGTGACAGGGGGCAGCGCCCCAACCCCCTGATCGGCCCTGCTCTGTGCGTGACAGGGGGTGGCGCTGCAACCTCCCCATCGACCCTGCCTTGGGTGTGACAGGGGGCGGTGCCCCAACCCCCCAATTGGCCCTACCCTGAGCGTGACTGAGGGTGGCATCGCAACCTCCTGATCCGCCCTGCTCTGTGCATGACAGGGGGCGGCGCCCCAACTCCCCAATGGGCCCTGCTCTGAGCCTGACCAGGGGCTGCACCTAGGGATTGGGCCTGCCCTCAGCCACCCGGGAGCAGGCCTAAGCCAGCAGGTCGTTATCTCCCGAGGGGTCCCAGACTGTGAGAGGGCACAGGCCGGGCTGGGGGACCCCTCCCCCCCCCCGAGTGCACAAATTTTTGTGCACCGGGCCTCTAGTGGATTAATAAACAAGCATAAGTAGGTGTTCAAAATAAGAATGATTGAAAATTAAAGCCAATTGATTTTAAATTAGTTTTAAAATTGCATTGCCACATTGCTCCCATGCCTGCACACCATGCTAAATGCAATGAAGAGCAAGTTCTGAAAACCATCAGCAGAATAGGCTTTCATTTAATCAGTGCCCTTTTGTTTCCTGTTGGTTTACTACAGAACTTATTGAATGTGGAAAAGATTCATGCGATCATGAGTTTTCTGCCTATAATCTTGAACCAGCTCTTCAAGGTTTTGGTCCAGAATGAGGAAGATGAAATAAGTACAACTGTGACCAGGTATCCATAACACAGCCTTAGGAGAAGAGATTTTTCTCATCTGTGGTTACACAGAACTTTGATTATAACTGAATGGCCCCCTAATTGTGTATGCTTGCCTTTCATTTGAACACATATCGCAAATTTAAGTATTTCTTACTCTTGATTTCTAATCATCTGTTGTTATAATTTGAGTAAAATACTATACGTCTTTTTCAACTTTCCTTTGTGATATTTAATTAAACTCTTTAATTTGAGGTAATTATAGATTCACATGCAGTTGTAGGAAATAATGCAGAGAGATCCCATGTTCCTTTTACCCAATTTACCCCAAAGGCAACATCTTGCAAAACTGCAGTACAGTAGCACTACCAGGATATTGACATTGATAGACTCAGAATACAGAGCACAGCACTCCATCTCCACAACTGTTTCCCTCTCCTCCCCACCCACACTCCTCATCCCAGGTAACTACTCAACTGTTCTCCACCTCCGGAATTTGATCACTTAATGAAGTAAAGAATCTTATATAGTGATATATAAATATAATATATATATATAAGTATTTACTTCATCTATGTATCTATACACATATCACATATCTATCTCTATATCTACCCTTTGGGATTGTTGTTTTTTTTCTTCACTCAGATTAATCCTCTGGAGAGTCATCCAGGTTGTTGCATCTATCCATAGTTCCTTTCTTTTTTATTTCTGAGTAGTATTCCATACCACAATATGTTTAACAATTCACCAGGTTGTTTCCAGTTTGGGGTAGATTTGGGGTAAATATAAATTCTCACATCACTAAGAAAAATGACCAGTGTAATTGCTGGGTTGTATGAGAGTTCTCAAGAAAATGTTGAGTTGTTTTCCACAGTGGCTGTACCATTTTACATTCCCAACAGATCTTTTTCTTTTTTTAAAATATTCTATTTTTCTTCAACTCTTCTCACTTTAGGTTTGTCTATACTACGCATTCTGCCAACATTACTAATCTGTCTGGTGACTTTGGTAATCACAATTTCCTCTTCATAGAGATCATGTTTTGAATTATTGAATCATCTATTCCTAATGTTGTTTTTCAATTAGTCACAGCATTCCAGAAATAAAATTACTCTTGGCATTGACATGTTTGCAGTACCTTCTGAACTCATAGGCCTATGATTAGCCTTTTTCAGAAGGAGGGTCTTTGGCCTTGGCTGTTTGTTTTGGGTTTTTTAAATATATTTTTTATTGATTTCAGAAAGGAAGGGAGAGGGAGAGAAAGAAACATCAATGATGAGAGAGAATCATTGATCAGCTGCCTCCTGCATGCCCCACACTGGGGATGGAGCCTGCAACCCAGGCATGTGCCCTGAACAGGAATCTGCCCATGACCTACTGGTTCATTGGTTGATGCTCAACCTCTGAGCCACGCCGGCCAGACTTTTGGCCTTGTTTTTACTAAAGTGGAGCCATGAAGCTCTGGAAAGTGAAGGCAGCTCTAACAGTTCCATAACCAGCCAGTTCTAGACACAGATTAAAAGTCCCCAACTCTATCTTCAATGGGTGCTGTTATAGCATGAGTATATGGGTCTGTGTTGACAAGATTCCTAAGTATTTTAGCTGATAGATCTGTTGAAATTCTGAGATATTCTTAAACACAACAGCTCCATATGGAGTAACTGGAAGTGTTCATGTGAAAATACCAACCCTTACCACCACTGCTATAGAAACTCTGTCCCAGCTAAGGGTAGGAAAAAAAAGACTATACATCTTAACCTAATTACTTTTTCCAAAAGCACTGACATATAGTGCCTCTAGGTTGGAAGTGAAGCCCTTTAAAAATGAATATGATCATTCAAGGTTAAAGATCTTAAGTTTTAATCAGGCACTAAAAATGATCCTTTTTCCAAGAAGACAGTGTCAGCAAACACAGACACCATAATAGCACATTCAGCTCAGGCAAAAAAGAAATCTCCAATGTGATACTACAGCCATAAGACATTACTTATATCTAGTTTTTAGAGATTTCAAGGTTGGAAATGGCTAACAGGTACTATAGATATTAAATACTCAATATTGGAGGGGTACAGGGGATGGAGAGTCTGAAATTGGTTCATTCATTTATTCATTAACTAGTAAGCACCATTTTCAAGCACTCCTGTGACAAACCCAGTGGAATTTTTCTGCCTTCTCCTGAAAGGCCACTGAACATCTCTGTTTTTCCAGGGTTCTGACTGACATCGTCGCCAAGTGCCACGAGGAACAATTGGACTACGCTGTCCAGTCATACATTAAGGTATGAAATCACCACTTGGACATTGGTCCTATGCCCTTGTGCTGTGTGGCTTGTCTCATTTCCTGTCTACATAAGTGGGAAGTTTTTCTCTTTAGCTGGATGGTGTCTACCATAGTAATACCAAGCATTCCTCTTAGCTTCTTAGAATTTCTTCTCTTTGCATTGATGGGCTAGGTGTATTGTTTGAATGTATAAGTGAATAAATAACATGTACATGTATAAATGAATATTTATATGGTGGAAAACAGCCAAGAAGTTTGAGCTAGAGAAGAAAAATATTGTCCTTTGGACGTCAACATTACAAGAAATGAAATTTCTGTGTAAATTTAAGGAAGTTTTTTTCCTGTTGGTTTGTTGAATGCTCTATGTTTCTTCTATAATGTTTTCTTAGCTTTTCTTATTGTTTTCTCAGGCATTATTTCATTTTCCCAGTTACTGTATATTTGTACCTGCTTCTGGTATGTTAAGTCCTTTATCCTCCGGCATGAACCACTAGCCCATTCCATCAACTGTGCACTGCTTCTTCCAGTGTCCTTCAAGTTTATATTCTCATTTCCAGTTGGCCTGTGAATTAATGCCCGTGAACTTGCGATGATGTTTGCACATTATAAATCCTGTCTGAATGTCATCTTTTTGAATGAAAAAAAAAAAACCCAACCAAAGATAGCTTAGTTCACTTTATGATACATAGAGGACCTAAATTTCTATCTTTTCTATACATAGGTGAAATCTTTTTGAGACATAGACCATTTTAATTAAAATAATGTATTGCACTAATACATATTGATAATCATATACCCATATATTTTAGATGTCTAGAAAGGTGACTAGAAAAGACTTTAAGGTCTTTTGTGCTAGAAACTTGGGGGGAGGCGGTTGTGTTTTTAAAAAAAAAAAAAAACCTGTTGTAAAAGGAAATAATTAGAAATTTCATTCTGGAGTGAACCCCTATGAAATACCATCAGTGAGAAATGTTTTTATTACAGTTTTATATTAATATATTTTCTACCTGCCAGAAATGTTAGATGGTTTCCCAAATACCTAACTTTAAGTGTATGCCCAGATGCCAAAAAATTGTCAGTTACTTCACAATCATTTCCCTTTGCTCTAATTTTACTCAATATGATCTACATTTCATTTTCAGAAAACCAGATTCTTAGATTCACCTATAAATGCCTTTTTAATTTGCTCTCTGTTTAAAGATAGAGTTTTTGCATGCTTTATATGGTGCTGATTAATTTATATTCAACAGAACCATCTACTGAACTTTTACTCTCTCAATGCTTACCTCAATTTTCCATTTCACTCCTCAAAGGCATTGAGACAAAACAAATTCTCCAGTCCACATTACACAAAGTCCTCTTCATTTCAATGCAGTTATTATATACCTTATTCCAAAGGAATCATTGAAAATTACATTAAGAACCCACTGGTGTTGTGACATTTTTGTGACAGTCAAGTCTAGATCTTATGAGAACCTTAAAATCAGCTCTGAGACTCCATCTGTGACACTCTTGGAGAAGTATATTGGCAATGCATCCTGGGATGGTCTTTATTTCTAACCAGGATGTTTGAAATATCCCGATGAGATCATTTGATTTGTAATAAGAGACTGCTTATTTAGCTTGCTCTGAAGGGGTTCAAATTCAGAAATATGCCTATGTAGAATTTCAAGCTGATAACAATTCCTAAAGATGTTATGTAACACATTTTCATAATCTAAAACAAATACAGCCTAACAAATATAACCAATTAAAATTTTACTCTGGAAAGATCATTAAAGTAGCAAATGGGAACCTAGATTCCAGTCAAGGTTAAATAGTTAACTTGAGCAGTCAGCTTCTCTGAACCTCACTTTTCTCCTCTGTGAAGAGAGATGGGATAGACCAGATGAACTTCCAGCTCTATGATTCTGTGTTTGGACTCCTGTTGTAGTACATGGTTGACAGTCTGACCTTGACCAAGGAGTCTGATTTTTTTTTACCTTTGGTGGGAAACATTATTATTTAACATGTAGATAGATATTAAGCCCCACAAGTAGGAGTGTAATGAAAACTGATGATCTGTTACCTATATATGCTTTGATGTCCTTGAAAGATGTGATATTTCAATGCAATTAATATTTATTCAGAAGCAAACTAAACACCATTTCAAGTTCAGTGGTGCTAAATGCTGCTAACTCACCCATCTATGGTATCCAAAATACACACATACACCATGTCTTTTTCAAAAATGTATGTCTAAAGTTAATCTAATGAAATGCCATGGGTTACAGAAATTCATGGAACTGACATGTGATAGCCAAAATTTTAAAATAAGAATATTTCAGAACTAGTCATAATGCCCTTAGGCATAAATGACTGTGCATGATATTAGGTGGTTATGACATTACCCTCACATGAGTCATGATCAAGGGGAAAAATCATATTACTCTTGACTTCAGCTAGTTTCATGCATCTCTTAGCTTTTCTTTCTCTTCTGGGATGAACTTGGAGAAGTCAGGCCCCATCAGGACACTTATCTGTTGATGAACAATGAAGTTCAAAAAAATAATTACAGATCCAAATTTGAATGTGCCTCTGCTTTGAGTTTCTTGCTTGCCTTCACACCTGATTATAATGAAGTCTGAATTGTGGATATTCTGAAAAAATGACCTCCCTTGAGGCAAACCAAACTCATTAGTAAAATAGTGTAATTCAGTAATAAGCATTTTATATTTGAAATATACATGTAAAAATTGATGGTACTATCCTTAAGATAGATGAAGAAAAACTGAAAACTAAAACCATTATATGCACTCAGTGGTGCATGCCAAAACCAATCTTTTGAGAAATAAAAAAGTGAGTAGGTGTTATCTTACTGATGGCCAATGTTCATGATCCTTTGATGCCTGTGCCTAAGCATGAGGTGGTAGGCCCTGGGCATGTGGGGAGCTCACCTACTGGCCTCTGGAAGGCACCTGCTTCCCCACTTGGCTATTTGAGTGGGTGCTCTACCCTTTCAGGATGAAGAAATGCTACCATGCCACCTGTTACCAGTGGAAGGAAGGAGAAGGGGAAATGTGTCCTAAGTAGGTGGGTCAAAGCCCTCCATGTTTCCTTGAACCTGCTAAATTGCACTCTCACTCTTCCCTTGATTTCTACAAAAAGAGTTTCAAGGAGAGTTTAGGTGAGCCAGGCCCTACCTGTGCAAAGCCATAAATAGGAACAGGTGTGTACTGCTCTTCTCATTGGGCCTTCATTTATTTCATGACAAAACCTGGTATGAGCAGATAATTTTGAGTTATGAGTTATTCATGGAACATTATTTTTGAAGTGCTGTTTTCTTAAAGCATCTTACTTATTTCACTCTTTGGATTTTGTTCAGTTCGTGTTCAAGACCAGGGCATGCAAAGAGAGAACAATACATGAGGAACTGGCTAAAAATGTGACTGGTCTTTTGAAATCAAATGACTCAACAACAATTAAACATGTCTTAAAGGTAAGGAATTGAAAGATGATTCTTTCATTATTAGCATAAGGTTCACTCTCACCCCCAAGAGGTGATAGCATCCACTGATTTTTGCAGATCATTTCTCATAGTTTCTAGCATACACATATTGAAACTGTAGCATATAAAAGCATTAAGCAAGAGAGGTCTATGTCAACAGAAAAGATCACCTTAAGAATAAAATGGACCTCAGTTAAGTTCTTTAGCCTAAAGACAGAATAAATGTCTACAAAGAGTTACCTCAAACATTCTTCTAAGTATAATAAAAATCAAGTGTGTTGAGTTTATTAGGCATATTATATACCAACAAAAGAATTAATGATATGTTAATAAATATATTGACAACAGAGAGGAAGCCAAGAAACAGCCACTCTTTGACCCTAAAAAGTTGAAACAATAAGGAAGGGATGGTAAAAAGTTTATGAAAAGACAGCTCTAAATTATTGTAAAAGAGTGAACTTAGTCCCCAGCTTAATTAATTATCTATCATGATAGGACCCTCAGCTTCATGATGCAACATAAATGAACCTCAAAACAGAATTTGTTGAATGAAAAAGGCAATCACAGGAGAATACATACAGGATGATTTCATTTACATAAAGTTAGTGGCCAGCAAAACTAAATTTATTTCTTCAATGTATGATATTGGTAGCAAAATTATGAAGTTAAGCAAGGGAATGACTACAATAAAATTCAGGATTATTTGTGGTGGAGGGGAGGGGAAAGAGAGAGGATGGGGGGGTGCATTATTTAAACTGTACATATACAACATAGACTTTTTTATCTGGGATAAGTATCACCCTTTTACCCTTGGACCTAGGAAAGAAGAGCCTTCATCCTAGTGCTTGCTTTAGTCTTTTCTGACTGAGCCCCACCCCATAGGGAACGATATAACAGTAGCCAAGAGGAATGCTCACTGGGAGCTCCTCCCATGCCTTCCTAATCTTTGAGGAACCCCAGAGCCCCCACTTCATGGGCTTACAGGCTTCCTCACAGGCCTACTTAGACCTCATTCCTAAGTCCCTCCTTCACTGGGAAAATCTTCCTGCCTGAATACAACCCTAGAACCAAGTGGGGAGCAGTTTGCAGTGGAAGAGAGTGACTAGTTTGTAGACAACACTTGGATGTGCAGGCTGGACAGTCACACATGAACCAAATCCCTCTAGGTGCAGGACTGAACCTTGGGTGACAAGAGGCTATAGGCCAGGGTTCTTCTCCCCTGAGAGCCCCATATTCTGGTACAACATTCCAAGTTGTCATGGAGTTATGTTTGTCAAGGTAGGATGATCAAACTTTGTTAGCATGACTTCGAACTTTAAGACCTGTGGCTTCAATTTTTTATCTTGCCTCTACCCCTTAAAATATTCAGGGTGGGCCTGCTAGGATATATTTTAATATAGAAAATTTCAGTTTTTTTTAGATAAGTGAAACAAATAGAACCTCATGGATAAATACTGCATAGGACTATTCTTTAATTAGCCATCCCAAGTAAACTGGCATCTTGTTTTAAACATCTTTGAGATGACAGAGGAACTGAAATGTCTGCCATTTACTTTTACCACTAAGACTTTGGTATAGATCATCCTAACACATATCATTGCTCTGGTGGATTTACTTTCAAAGAACACACTGTAAGATAAAGATTCTATAATATTACATGATGTAAAGAACAGAATTATCATTATTTTACCATAGAACAAATTTCTCACTGCCTTTTCTTTTCCTAACAGCATTCCTGGTTCTTCTTTGCAATTATTCTGAAATCCATGGCACAACACTTGATTGACACAAATAAAATTCAGGTAAGATCATAGGTAATACAATGCTACCCAACAATTATGCTCATGAACATGCTGTCAGTAGTTCCATTGGTATTTACTTTGTAAACCGTAGCAATATATGTTCATTGCTTTTTAAGTAGGAGAAATGATTGTGTGTCACTTTAATCTCCATGGTTTTCCTTCTTGCAGCATGCAAGGCTGGGTACTCAGAATCTTAGAAATTTAGGCTCAGTCTAACATCGATTTTTGTGTTTCTATCTATAGCGAAATGTGAGTCTAATGATAAAGTTGACTTGTGAAGATGATTGAATCTTGCCTTTCTCATGAAAAAGGGGCTGTGTAAATTCATGAAGTAGAGCCTGAGATGGGAAGTCTCAGCTGCCTGGACTTCTCCCTTGTGGGCAGGAGTTCAGGCAGCAGGAGTGGATTCCTAGACCTAATGCTGGTCTTTAGGGACCCATGGAGTTTCATTCCATGTCACACATGTATTCGCCTAGCCACACCATTTTGCATCTTGTGGCAGAAATCTCTTGACTCTGATGTCCCACTGGTGCCCACTGTGGCAAATGCTGAGAACATGAAGTAAAGACTGGCTGGTACAAACTTTCATCTATGAGTAAGATCTGAAGACCTAACATAAACCATGGTGATTATAGCAGATGATGAAATTTGCTAAAAGAGAATAACTTAAATGTTCTCATCAAAAACAAAAATGACCAAACCAAAAAAAAAGACGTGAAGTGATAGATGTGTTAATTAACTAGATGGGGGAAATTCTTTCACCCTCACATATAAATGTATCTAAATATGATCTACACTTTAAATATCTCACAATTTTATATGTCACTTATACTTCAATAAAGCTGAAATAAAATTTTAAAAAGACTAGCTGTATCTCACTACTTATAAAGGACATTTCAAGCCAATATTTGTACTCATTTAGTTACTTAGTCATTCATTGATTTCTTAGAGTTGCTAATTGGGGGATTTCTAGTTTAAAAAAATCAAAGTACTTGATTTTTCACTAAATGTGTCTAAGAAAATCTAGACCAATATTTATTAAACCATTAATAGTATGTACTTCCTAAAAGGGAAGGGAGGGGAATTACGATGTGAGAGATAATATAGTCAATAATATAATAACTATGTATGGTGGGTGCCAGGGTTCTAGACTTATCAGAAGGATCACTTCATTTATATATATAGAAGCCTAAGCAATCTAACAACTAAACAACCAAATGACCAGTTGACTGGTCGCTATGTCCCGCACTGAAAACCAGGGGGCAGACGCTCAATGCAGAAGCTTCCCCTGGTGGTCAGTGCATTCCCATAGCCAACCTCCGGCAGCTGGCCAACCTCCCACGATTCCTTCCCCCTGCCCCCCCGCTGGCCCCAATCAGAACTGGATGAGAGGGCCACAATTGGCCCCGATCACCAGCCAGGCCAAGGGACCCTACCCATGCACAAATTTGTGCACCAGGCCTCTAGTAAGTTATATAAATGTCTAACCACTATGCTGTACACCTGAAAATAATGTTGTATGTCAACTGTAATGGAAAAAAATGTGAAAAATGTTACATGTTTTAATAGTTTGCAATTAAAATATGTTATAATTTACTTTTTAAATGAAAATTTTATTGGCCAAAGGAGAAAACATTAAATGAAAATTATGGAAATCATGACCTTGAAATTAAAAGGGCTTCTATTTTATTATTGCATTCAAGTTTTCAGTTTATTTTTTTTAGGCTTAGCATTTCATATGCCACATTATAAAGAAATGATCTATTCTTTTCTTAGCTTTCTCGGGCTGAAAGATTTCCTGAATCATACCAAAATGAATTGGACAATCTGGTCATGGTCCTAGCTGATCACATGATTTGGAAATATAAAGACGCCCTTGAAGAAACAAGAAGGGCCAACCACAGTATCGCCAGGTTTCTTAAGGTACAGTGATGAGATGCAATTCCATTCAAGCCCCCATGCTAATAGACGTGAGATATCCTCAATGTTAATTGATTCAATCTTCATTTTTTATGAGTAGTCACAACTAATGCTGTTTGATGAATACTTTTATCTATCTTTCCTACTTGAAATACTTTTTATGGGTTTGTTTGTTTTTGCCTGTCTCCCCAAAACTACCTGCTGTTTACACACTCATTACAGTTAAGAGAATCTGACAACAGAATAAGAAAGACAGTGAGCAGCTCCCTGATAGAAATCTCAGGAACTCTTACCTTCGCTCCTCAAATTCAAGCTGCCTTCACTGAAAGAAAAGCTCCTCTGTCGAAGGAGACCAGTGAGATTTTAAAAGGTTTTTATGACCCACCTCTGCCACCCCTGTTCCTTCCCAGAGCTGTACAGTACAGGAATGAAATTGCTAAAGAAAAATAATAAAATGTAACTCTTTAAAAAATAAACACACAAGTAAAAGCTAAAACTCTCTATAGAAAAGGAAAAGGCTCTAATATTTAATTGCAAAGCTCCAAGTGATGTTGCATAGAAGTGATAAATATGGGTTTGTAGCTTTCTGATGGGTGTACTATAGGTAACATTTTAACTAGTTGCCATATGTGGACAAATGCTTAAACATACTTGAGAGGTTTTTAGAATACTTAAGACACAACACATTTAGTTAAATGTTATTTTATTTCAATAAATTTCATTATCTTTTCAAAATCTTTAATGATCTTTAAAGTAAAAATGTTTTAATTTGAAATTGTATCTTTTTTAGCGCTGCTTTACGTTTATGGACCGGGGCTTTGTGTTTAAGATGGTCAACAATTACATCAGCATGTTCTCCTCTGGTGAACTCAAGGTAAGAACCAAGTGCAGGAGTGATTGCTTTCTCAGCTATGGCAGTATAAATAAATAAATTGGTCTCTGTGTATATATATATATGCCTAAAACATCAACTTATCCATTCTCTGCATCAAAAAAATAATGTCTATACCAGTGAGAGGCAGTCTTGTAAATGGTCCATCTGGCTGCTGAGAAAGTCTCCCAAGTCTTTCCTCCGTGGGGAACAAGGGAGAGTGGAATGAAAGTGTTTACATTTCACTTCTATGTCCTGTGGGTGGAGAAGAAATAGTTCTTTCCAGCTGCAGTTCTTATAGAACTCTAGCTCAGGACTGTGTTGTTTAAGTACTGAAAGTCCCACCTCTGGAAATCATTCAATCTTAGGCAAAATGGACAGTTGGCCACCCTGCCTAAATAGGGGCTACGTTTTGGGAGACAGGCAGGAAACAGTGCTCTAGAGAGGAGTGGTTCTCAAAGTGAGGTTCCTAGGCTAGTGCAATAGAATCTCAGAACTGAAGTCTGTATTGTATCAAGACTTTCAGGTGATTTTTATTTATCAAGTCTAAGGACCAGAGTTTAGTATGGCATATGCTGAAGAGAAATAAGCCTGGGCCAGGTCATGAAAGTTGTTATCAATGAGGGTTCATTGGGTTGCAAGCAAAAAGTTTACTGCAATTTGAGTAAAAGCAAATTTATTGGAAGTTCTATTGGGAATAAATAGCATCAATGTAAAGAACTAGACTAGGAAAAGGGCTAGAGCACAAGAATAATCGCCAAGAAGGAACCATTTGGCCAAAGTCTGCTGCTGCTTAAATGATAACACTCTTCTTAATATCTGCTTTCCAAAAAGGAAGTGTGTGGTCAGCCTGCTTTGGGTCACATGCCTGCCTCTTAGCAGGAGAGACAGGGCATGTGAATTAGCAGTTCCTCATTAAACTTCCTTTGGGAAGAAGGTAATTCCTGAAGAAGAAATTACCTAGGTGTTGTAAAATAATAACCAATGTAGAACAACCAAAAATAAAAAATTTTCATCTTATAGCCTTTCATGTCATGCTCAGGAATCTGAATATTATTTTTCTTGTCAGTTTTGATCAGGAGAGTTACCTAATTACGTATCATGATGTTTTGATCATCCAATTCTCTCTGTAAATAATTTTTGAAAGAATATTCTTCATTAATTCTCCAATTATGCATGAAATTTGAAGAATGTCCATTTAGATACAATTCCAGTAGACCTAAATTATATATTTTTTCAAAGACCAAACAGAAGCCTCTCAATGAAGAATAATTGACATATAAATTAATTATACTCTTCTTCACTTTAATGTATGAAGGATTAAGTCAAATACAATCATTTGTAAATTGCAGTATTTTAAATGATTGACTAAAGTTGCCACAAAATATAATTCTGTAATATTCAAGTGAATGAAATATATTTTATTTTGTTAGCTGATATTAGCAAATATAATGAACACAATCTGAGTCTTAAAAATGTATTACTTATCTTGCATGAGTGAAAACAGAACAGTTATGAATGTGCTGATTGTTTCTATTTATGTGGTTGTTCTTAGCTCATGTATTACAGTTGTCTTAGACTATGTCTAGACTCCATTTATCACTGTGCTATTCAAAACATTATTGAAAGAACAGGCCTGTTTGCAAGAGTAGGGAAGAGGTAGAATTAATAATGTATCCTGAGAACAAATGGCATACGAAGAGAAATTCACTTTCATTTTTTATTGTCTTCCTTACCTCCTTGAATCATAGGAATTGATTGTAGCAATCTGTAGAGCTCTGTGCATTTGGTGAGGCACTATTTTTCTCAAAATAAGTATGTTTTTCTCAAAATAAGTATGTTATAAACTAAAAGAAGCAAAAAATGCCTCAGTAAGGTACGTTACAAATGAGATTACTTCCTGAGGAAGCCTTGATCCAACTCCCCAAATAGGAAGGCTGCCTGCATTTACCACTACGGAGGGTCAAAATTCCTTAAACTTAACAATAGCTGGTGGTCACACAAAAGTAACCGCATCCTCTTTTTAGGTACAAAAGTCAAGTGCAGATTCTTTGTTTTATTAAATTTTTGGTGTGTAAATAATAGTCATTCGGCTTTCTCTTTCAGACTTTATGCCAGTATAAATTTGATTTCCTTCAAGAAGTGTGCCAGCATGAGCACTTTATCCCTTTGTGTCTCCCCATAAGATCAGCAAACATCCCAGGTAATAATTCCCAGGGTTTTCATCGGCTCCTACAAAGTGAACACTTTTGTTTGTTTGTTCATTGTTTTCCTGTTTCCTCAATCTTGGTTTTGTTTGAAGTTGTCACATGGGTATACCCAGACAATGAGATTAAAATGTAAAAGAAATTGTTGGCCTGTGACAATGGATACAACCCTATGATTCTCAATGTTTGTCTGGGTTTCCCTTTTCATTAAAAAGAAGGCCAACAATAAAATTATAAGAAAAACAAAGCTTTATTGAAGTAATTCCTATTTTAGGACAATATATTTTAATTTTTCAGTATATATTACACATCATTAATGAATTTTGAGAGATAAAATTACATGGAGGAAAAGTTATACTTTGTGAGTATAAATTCATTTCCAATTATCAGTTAAGGTGTGTAATTATGTTGAATGCAAGTCCTCAAAATTAGTTTGAGACAAAGAAACTGGTACCTTGGAAGGAAGGATGTAAGGAAGGAAGGCAGGCAGGTGGGCAGCACTATGAACTCCTGATATCTCTGGGTCAGAAAGACACAGAGATAGGTGTGCAAAAAAAAACTGGGCTCCACAACTTGTTTGCTATGCTACTATAGCATAAATGCTCTCCAGAAAATACTTTCATTTATTACATTTGTATATATGTATATTGTCCATTCTCTACCATGATCATATACTGGGGTGACCATGGTAGAGAATTATTATCACCCACCTAGATATCAGAAGCTTATCAAAATGCGAAGAAAATACTAAAATTATTTAGGAATTTTAATTTTTTAATTTTTAAATTTATTGGGGTGACATTGGTTAATAAAATTGTATAGGTTTGAAGTGTACAATTCCCTAATATATCATCTGTATCATCTGTATATTGCATTGTGGGTTCAGCACCCAAAGTCAAGACTCCTTCCATCATCATACTGGTGGGGGCAAAAGTGGGTTTAGAGTTGTGTGTATGTAAAATGCAGTTTAATATTGTATTATTATTTATTATTGTATTATTCTCCATATGAACAACTATAAACCTCCTTCTGCCCCCACCCTGTATATTTGACCCCTTTTACCCTTAAAATACTTTACTTCTAAGCAGTGAGTAAATTATTCACATGGTGCAATTTTTATATTTATGGAAAACACTAACTGAGATGATAAATCCCTCCTTAAATCTGTTATAGTTTGCACTAATGTTTTGGAGGAAAAAAGAGTAAAGAACATTATTTTTACAAAAAGGACTGTGTCTGATGCTCAAATAGAAGGCTAAGATTTAAAATAATTCTGTTATGGCATTCTCTTTAATGAAATAAACAACCTAAAGCATTTCTCTTGAAAAACAAAGCTTTATTGAAGTAATTCCCATTTTAGGACAATATATTTTAATTTTTCAGTATATATTACACAACATTAATGAACATAATATATATCTGAGTATGGATATATCTGAACTTTTTGTTTATTTGTATTAAATCCAGATCCTTTGACACCTTCAGAATCAACTCAAGAGTTGCATGCATCAGGTAAATAGTGTAATTTTATATATTACCTAAGCATCAATAGTCCAATAACATTGATGAATATAGATACTATAAATTTTCAGTTTCCAGGTGCTAATAAATAGCCATATTTTAATACCATATAGTCAAAATAAACAAAATATTGTCTGAACTTTTCTCCAGTCACAAATAATTAAATGATTCCCCGTCTTGAATTCTTTCATATTTTATTCTCTAAAGTTTATTTTTTTTTAATTTTCCAAAGTTCCTGCAATTTCCTTAGCGTATATCATAAATAAAATTCCAGCTATATATAATAGCATACGTGTTCAATGTAACTAGCTTTATATGATATATTTCTTTCAATAAACCACAGTTTGGTTTGAGCTATTTTTTCAAGATTGAAATTATTAGAAGCCTATAAATTGAATATAATGCATATTCCAATGGTGCACTATACTAATCATAACTACCTTGCTGGTTGTCCTGAAAACTAACTAAGATACTTCTTATAAAGTGTGTAGCCTAGTGTTTACTCACAGTGTGAGCTCTGTAAGTGGGTGCTAGTCCTATTATTAATAGTTACATTTAGAACCCTGTTGGACAATTTTGAATAAATGCATTATTACTGGAAATTGTAACACTGCTTTCTTGGTAATTCAGGCTTAACATTTTGCAGCCTCCCTTGGTTTTCCTCTCTCCTTGCTCTTTCACATCCTTCAGAAAACTTGTTCTGCTGATATTACTTCTGCTACTTTGATCCTACTACCCCAGGCCCTCTAATTCTCCCTTCTCTCCACTACTGTTTCAGACTCTTGTATTATATCCCTCCCTGCAATCTAATTAATTTACAACCTGCCACCCTATTAGTAAATCAATAAAGCACAGGTCTGATTGGGCCACTGATCTCAAAGCCCTGAGTGACTTATCATCTACTGCAAATGGAATTGCTACAGAAGTGCAAATAGCAGAGAAACATAAATGCCAGCTAGCGAATTTGTACTTAAGTTTCCCATCAACTAGTCCCAATGTGGCTCACATCTTAATTCTGATCACTCTTCTTTTGGGCACTGTATTTACTGTCCCCAATATCTGTGTTCCCCACATACCTACTTTCACAATTCTGTGCCGTTGAAATCCTATCACCTCTCCTCCCAGTGTCCTCTTCTTTCCTCATCGCCTCCATTTGCTCACACACCTGCACTTCCAAATCTTTTAAGCATCCTCAATGGCCCATTTCAACATATTACTCTCAGTTGACCATTTCTGATTCCTTCAGACAGACTATTCAGGTTTTTCTGATCTCAGCTATAATACTGTATGGTTGCCACTTTCATGGAGCTTGATATTTGACATCACGCATTATTTGTATTAGTATACACACAATATCACCCTATCTTTCTGAATGTTCCTCTCTCATAATTCTCATCTCTGTGGCAAGACTATATC